TTCACTGTGCAGGTACCCTTGTTGATGAGGTGTGCCCCCTCTTCCCCAGGCAGATTTCTACTACTGTCAATCCCAACTCCCTGCCCCCCTCCCCTCCACAGTTTCCTGCTACTGTCAAACCTTTTCTTATAGTATTGCAGTAGTTGTTCAAGGTCCACTTATGAGTGAGAACATGTGATACTCAGTTCTTTGTTTCTGGGAAAGATCACTCAGTATTATAGACTCTAGTTCCATCCAGGTTGCTGCGAAGTTCATGATTTTGTTTTTCTTTATGGCTGCATAATATTCCATGCATTTTTTTTTATCCAGTCCTCTTTTAATGGGCAGTACGGTTGGTTCCATGTCCCTGCTATTGTGTACAATGCTGTGATAAACATACCTATGCAGGTATCTTTTTTATAGAGTGATTAAGTTCTTCTGGGGATATACCTAGTAGGGAGATTGTGGGGTCATATGGAAGGTCAATTTTTAGAACTTTTAGGAATCACCACACTGTTTTCCAGAGGCTGTACTAGTTTGCACTCCCACTAACAGTGTAGAAGTGTTCCCTTTTCTCCACATCCTCTCCAGCATCTGTTATTTTTTGAGTTATTGGTGATGGTCATTCTGACTGGAGTTAGGTGGTATCTCAGTTTAGTGTTAATTTGCATCTCCTTGATGACTAGCGAGGCTGGACATTTTTCATGTATCTGTTGGCTGCTCATATGTCTTCTTTTGAGAACTGTCTATTCATATCTTTTGCCCAATTTGTAATGGGGCTGTTTTTTGTTTTTTGTTTTTTCTTTTCAGCACGTTTGAGTTCCTTGTAGATCCTAGATGTTAGGCATTTTTCAGACATGGAGTTGGCAAATATTATTTCCCAGTCTGTGGGCTGTCTCCCTGCTCTCTTGATGGTTTATTTGACTCTGCAGAAGCTTGTCAGTTTGAGGAGGTCCCACTTGTCTATCTTATCTCTTATAGCATGGGAACTTGGGGTTTCGATCAGGAATTGGTTACCAGTTCCAATTTCCATAAGAATGTCTCCTGCATTTTCTAAGGTTCTTACAGTTTGAGGTTTTACGTTTAGGTCTCTGATCCATTTAGAGTTGATTTTTGTGTATGGGGATAGGTAGGGGTCCTGTTTCAATCTTCTGCATGTGACCAGTCAGTTTTTCCTGCATCATTTACTGAATAGGTTCTTCTCTCCCTAGTGGTTGGTGGTTGAGGCTTTGTCGAAGATGAGTTGGTTGAGAAATTGAGTTTTTTCTTCTGGAATCTCAGTTCTATTCCATTGCTCTATATGCCTGTTCTTGTACCAATACCAAGCTGTTTTGATTATTGTAGCTTTATAATAAAGTTTAAAGTCTGGGACTATGATACCTCTTGCTTTGTTTTTTTTTTTGCGAGGGTTGTTTTGGCTATTCTTGGTCAAAAACAAATCTTAATACTTTCTACATTGTATATCACTAATTTTATATGCTTACCATTTGCTTCAAATATTCCTAAATATGGCTTATTTAAAACACTTTAGAAAATTTTTTTTAAATGTGTTTTTATTTTCATTGAAGTAAATTTTATCATGATTCATTTGGGGAATTACCTTCAGAGTGAGTTTATTTTCTGTAATCAAAGAATGGGTTGAAAACATATGATGTTGGTTTTTGCTAAAGAACTAGTAGTTTTTATGGATAATTTTTTATTTTAGAAAAGCCATATATCAGGTGTTGTCCTAAGTTCTTTAAGTGTATTATCTAGGAGTATGTTCATTTTTGTACTTAAAAATGTATAAAATAAAAAACAATATAGATATTATATGAGAAAGCTGTTGTCTCTTTTCCATTAACACTTTCTTAATTTTTAGGAAATTTAACATATAGTAAAAGCAAAGTGGAAGACTCTCCAACTTCTATTTGCAAATGCCATTTAGGACTATGTGTTTTTGTCCTGTGCACTTACAAGAAATATAGTATGTACTGATATTAACTTGTTATTTTGCTTGTTTAATAAGAGTTGCTGCTTTTTAAATCTCTGAAGGATTTGAAAGAATGTCTTCATGGTTCTTTATCATTATAGAAAACATTTTATTGTTAATTTTGTATTTGTATATGCTTGTAAGTACATATCATTCAAAAATCTTTTTATCTGATTTCTAGCTATTTGAGACAATATAGTATGAATTGGTTTTTAAATTAAAAGAGTGTCTTATAAGAATAAAATTGTTCTGTAATCGTTGATCAACAAAATTAATTTTTAAGCAAAAAAAAAAAAGGTGCCAGAAACATGATTTTTTTTTCTTTTTTTTGAGTTAGAGTGTCATTTTGTTGCCCATACTGGAGTGCAGTGGCACGATCATGGCTCACCACAGCCTCAACCTCCTGGGCTCAGGTGATCCTTTTGCCTCAGCTTCCTGAGCAGCTGGGACTACAGGCATGCACTGCTATGCTCAGTTAATTTTTTGATGTTTTGTTAGAGACAAGGTCTCACTTTGTTGCCCAGCCTGGTCTCAAACTCCTGGGCTCAAACAGTCCTCCCATCTTAGCCTCCCAAAGTGCTGGGATTACAGGTATGAGCCACCATGTCTGGTCCTACCTCAGTCTTTTTAATGATTGCATGTTTTCTGATTTGGGGTATTTTCTAATTTATTTGACCAATCTATTCAAATTTCCTGTACCAAGAGAAGACTAGAAACAAGACATTAATGAATGTTTTTGTACATTCAACTTTCTGCACTTGTCTATATGTAGGACATAACTGCAAGTGTAATTATTGGACTAAAAGTCATATACAGCTTCAATTTTGATATGGATAATGTCCACTGCCCTCTAGGGAGGTCATACAAATGTGTATGCAGCTAATGGGACTAGCTGGCTTATGGGAGTGAAGCACGCATTTAAAAATTCATGACTAAAGTATGTTTGTTACTGTAATCAAATATATCCTCACTTTCTGACAGCATGTATGGGAGAAATTCAGTTATAATATGAAAATTTGCAAGTTATGTGTTTACAAAGTTTGTATTCTGAGGTTTTTGTAACAGTTAAAAATCTTGATTTTAGGCCAGATACAGTGACTCACGCCTATATTCCTAGCAATTTGGGAGGCTGAGGTGAAAGGTTTGCTTGAGCCCAGGAGTTCAAGAGTAGCCTAGGCAACATAACGAGAGCTTGTCTCTACAAAAATAAAAATAAAAATAAATTAGCCAGGAATGGTGACATGTCCTTGCAGTCCCGGCTCTGCGGGAAGCTGAGATGAATCACTTGAGCCCAGGAGGTCGGGACTTGCAGTGAGCTGTGATCATCCCATTGTATTTTAGCCTTGGTGACAAAGTGAGCCCCCAACTCAAAAAAAAAAAAAAAAATACACACACACACACACACACACACACACACACACATATATATAAGTTAATTTATTTTAGGGGTAAAATAATTTTTTAAAGAAAGACTTCATTGCATACTTTCTTATATTTTTTATTGTGGTAAAAAATATATATATACATACACATAAAATTTGCTATTTTAACCAACTTAAGTATATAATTCAGTGGCATTAATTATATTTACAATGTTGTACAGTCATCACCACTATTTCCAAATCAATTTTTTTTTAATTGTGGTATAATAGTTGGGTGCAGTGGCTCCCGTTTGTAATCCCAGCACTTAGAGAGACCGAGGCAGGAGGATCTCTTGAGCCCAGGGGTTCGAGACCAGCCTAGGCAACATAGTGAGACCTTGTATCAACAAAAAGCTAAAAAATTAGCCAAGCATAGTGGTGCAGGCCTTATAGTCCCAGCTACTTGGAAGGCTGAGGCAGGAGGATTGCCTGAGCTCAGGCGGTCCAGGCTGTGGTGAGCCATGATCCATGACACTACACTCTAGCCTGGTCAACAGAATGAGACCTCAGCTCAAAAAAAAAATTGTGATAAAATACACATAACAGCCGGGCTCGGTGGCTCAGCCTGTAATCCCGCGTCTTTGGAAGGCTGAGGTGAGTGGATTGCTTGAGCCCGCGGGTTCAAAACCCACCTGGGCAACTTGGCGAGACCTCATCTCTACAATAAATCAAAAAATCAGCCAGGCGTGGTAGCGCGTGCCTGTAGTTCCGGCTACTTGGAAGGCTGAGGCGGAAGGATTGCCGGGCCCAGCAGGTCGAGGCTGCAGTGGCCGGGAGCGGCCACTACACTCCAGTCTGGGCGACA